TCTCTAGGATAGATCAGGGTCGCGGCCCAGGAAGACAGATCCACACAGTCTTGAAAATATCGTCCCCACTATGCTTAAGGCCCAGTCACGCCCAGGCGACGCACTGGTCCGCACAGTCCGAGGGCTCGGTCACCACAGCCACCCTGTGTGCCCCACCTGGCCAACACGCCGCTCCACTCCCAACACCCGGCCCCAACAGTCCTTCAGGAGCCAGCCGGGTCCTGCAAGCTTCTGGCACCACAGACCTGGCATCGGCAGACCTGGCGGCACAGCTTCGGGGCTCTCATGCCCGCCGGGGCTCGCGCATCTCTTGCACGGTGCTGAGAGGTGTGCACCACGCACGGCAGGAGCCAAGGACCCTGCTGCTCAAACTACGTCACTGGGGGTGCTATTCTGAGTCAGAGGCACTGAAGCAACAGCAGGTATGAGATCCTGGCCCCCCGTTATTTTTTTTCTGCAATGCATGCTGGGAAAATGTGCACCAGTTGTCCAGGGTGGGGTGCTACTCCACCCCTTTCCTCATTTTTATTTCCAGAGAAGGTCTCACTACACTGCTAGGCCATGCTCCAACTGGTGATCCTCCTGCCTCAGCCTCCCGAGCAGCTGGGATGACAGGCATGCGCCACCACACTGGGCTTCCTTCTATTTCATAGAGGCTGTAGCTGATTTAGCCGCGTTTTCCCAACTCAATTTCCTTTTGTGCAGCTCCGTCCAGAAGCACTGAGTCCACCGGAGTCTCTGGGTCTCTGACAAGTGTGAAGGTCCTGTGCCACACAAGGACCTTCAAATCTAGTGCCACACAAACCCGGACACTTTCCTCCTGTCCCTCCTGTATTGGTTCAATCCTCACGCACAGTCAAACCCTGAAAAGCCTAAAATAATAAAGAAAACACCTCCCTCCCTTCCACATCTCAACCTTTAAAATGGACAACTCGGGCCGGGGATATAGCTCAGCAGCACAAGCACCTGCCTGGCAAGCGCAAGGTCCTGAGTTCAATTCCCAGTACCCCCAAAAAATAAGACAAAAAACTAAAATGGATAACTGGGTACCCTCTAGTGCCTCAGAGTTTTGTAACCATCACCACCATCTAATTCCAGAAAACATTCTTTACTCCAAAAGGAGGGGCTGGGGATTTAGCTCAGCGGCAAAAGCGCCTGCCTGGCAAGCGCAAGGTTGTGAGTTCGGTTCCTGGTACCGGAGAAAAAAAACAAAAAAACAAAAAAACAAAAACAAACAAACAAAAAAAACTCCAAAAGGAAGCCCTACCCCCACAGTACTGCAGCAGTCAGCCGTCCCCTCCCAGCCTGGGATGCTGAGGCCACTTCCTGTCTCTGGAGTCCCCCGTCCTAGGCATTTCCTGTCCATGGAGCCCACACTGTGTGCTCCGTGTCTGGCGTCTCTCACTGACCACGGTGTTCTCAAGGCCCCTCCATGCTGTGTCCTTCTGTCCGGAATGGACAGGTGGGTTGTGCCCACATGTTGGCGACCATGGAAGACCCTGCCCTAACCACTTGCAGCTGAGTCTGCAGGGCCCCAAGTCATTCCCGGCAGCTGCAGTGGACCAAGGCGTGGGGTGCTGGGTCAAAGGCGGCTGGACCACCCTGCATCCCTCACCACCGACACAGTCCTTCTGACTGCAGCTGCCTACTGCTCAGGACCACCCCCGAGAAAGGATCTCCAAGAGAGGAACCACAGCTAAGGAACTCAGCTCTGGCTGGGCGTGGCGGTGCGCACCTGTTATCCTAGCACTTGGGAGGCTGAGGCAGGAGGATCCCAAGTTTGAACTCAGCCTGGGCAACTTATTGACTCAACGAGAACCTGTTTCAAAAAAAAGATAAATAAAGAAAAAAAAAAAGAACTAAGTCTCACACTCAGCAGCATACCCATGCCTGCCTCCAAACTAGCCCAAGCCCAGCAGGGGACGACTCCCAACTCATGCTGTCACGCTTCTGGAACTAGAAGCCCAAATCCGGTGTCTCCAGGTACACTCCCTCTGGAGGGCCCAGGGATGGTCCTCGCCGCCTCTTTTAGCTTCAAGTGGCCCCAGTATCCCTTTGCAGTGCTGCCGCCACGCCAGTCTGCCTCTGTCTGTGCACAACCACCTCCAGCATGGCTTTTTGTTGTGGTGCTAGGGACTGAACCCGCACCAGGGCCTTTGCCCTGAGCTCCATCCCCAGCTCTTTTTCTGAGGTTAGGTCACTAAGGTGCTAAGTTGTCCAGGTGGGCTGGAACTTGTGATCCTCCTGCCTGAGCCTCCTGGAGTGCTGGGATGACAGACGTGTGCTACCAACACCCAGCTTCTCTGCTTCTCTCAGGCAGATCAACTTAGGGTCCGCATGGATACTCCAGGGTGCCGTCTTCACCACGAGCTGAGATGCTTTTCCCCAGTGAGCCTTGCGCAGAGGCTCTGGGAGTTGGGGCATACACACATCTTTCTGGGAGCTACCTCTTAACCCGTGACACTGTGTAACAAATTACCAAATTTAGCAGTTTAAAAACCATGCCTATAGGGGCTGGGGATTTAGCTCAGCGGCAAAGCGCCTGCCTGGCAAGCGCAAGGTCGTGAGTT